GGAGGGTCTTTGTCTTTCTCAGGTGTGAAATGCCATACATATTAATGAGAGATCACGCCTCCCCGCATAAAGCTTTCTCGCACTAAACACGTCATACACATTATAAAAGACTTTATTGACTTATCTGAATGAGTAGTCAGGATGATTCTCACATAGTTTTGGAGCAAATATTCTAGACTATGTGATACAATTTTCAAAAGTCTTGTGAAGAAATAATCAATATGTGTTTTGTGGCCTTGTTTCAGAAACTTTTATTTTTAAGTTTTTCAATAACCATGCATAAATAATATTCTCTCAAAAATACAAACATGTACATACATGTTGTTCACAGATTATGGTAGCCCCGTTTGTACTATATAGAGTGAATTTACACCTTTGCCATTAACATGTTTATAAATAACTGAAAAAAGCACAAATGTCAGTGCATGTCAAAACATCCCAAGGGCCCCAAAAAACCCTTGGTCCCCAGAGGGTTAAGCTGGACTGTGATACTCTTTTCCTCTGGAAACAAAGTTTTTTTTGCATTATTTTCCTGTTATCTCTGTAAAGCTGCTTGGAAACAACCTGTATTGCAAAAAGCGCTATAAAAATAAATGTGACTTGACTATGATTAATGTCACACCTTTTCACATGATTATATTGTGGCATCAGTGTTATACACTAAAGCAAACACTGATCACCAAAATTGTGACATCAAACTGAACAAACCCAACAAAATTAATGTTCTGTTGGGTTTTAAAGTGTTTCTGTATGGTCTGTTTTGTGGGTCACCATTGTGCTGAAAAGTAGAGCCTGTGCTTCAGTCCAGGATGTGCAGAGAAACACAGATGTTAGGCTGCATGTTGCTTTATTTTATAGACAGTAACTATGTAGTTGCTGATGCAGTGATGTATTGTCACAGTAAATCATGTGTGTAGTGAACTGCAAGAAATTCACCTTTTACAGTGAATATTTTTGTTAGTCAAAATTCAGGAAATATATGTGAAATAAGTGTGTTTCTGTTAAGTTTAATGAAGATTTCTGTAAAAGTCGTTTGCACTTTATTTAAATTAGGATATTTTACATTCATTTTATGTTTTCTTTTATGGCAGCCATTGCTGACAGTCACTTGACTATGCGATAAACGCATGCCCAAAAACCTCAAGGCAAAGATCTATAAGACAGTCGTCCGCAGTCGCCCTATATGGAGCGGAGTGTTGGCCCGCGACCAACAGGCACGAACAAGCCCTTAATGTAATGGAGATGCGGATGCTCAGGGGACACTAGGGCTGACCCGATGGGACCAAGTGATGAATGAAGACGTCAGAAAGACCATGGGAGTAGCACCGATTATGGAGAAGATGAGGGAAGCGCGACTTCGATGGTATAGCCACGTAGTAGGGAGCGAGGAAGAGTCAATAGCGAAGAGGGCCCTGCGTCTCAACCCTGAAGGAAAGCGACCCAGAGGAAGACCAAAGAAGTGATGGATGGATCGGATAAAGGAAGAAATGAAACATGACAATGCCTCCCCGAAGATGCCCTTGATCGGAAGAAATGGAGAGCAACCTGCCGAAAAGCGGACCCCGCATTATGACGGGACAAACGCTAGGAGAGAGAGAGAGAGTCAAGAGTGCAGTCAATTGAAGACATGAGTCAGAATTTTAATAAATAACCTGAAGTGCTATAAAGCACTTAATGCACTTTAAGTAGCACTTTACTATGTATATGTATATGTGTGTGTCCGTCATGTATGAGTATGCCATATTAGATGCCCTGTTTACTAATTGCGTCATTTCTTATATGTTGCTGTTAATTGTGTGTCTTTTAAATTAAGTTGAATCATGTTTAAATTAAATGTTTAGCTGTGTTATTAGGTATTGTTTGATGACCTCACATGGGACTACAAATGTAAAATAGCCTGGGGGCTAATTTTGGCATATGTACATTGCTGAAAAGCTATGTTCATTCATATGCATTGTCCCTTTTAAATAAATAAATAAATAAATAAAAAGATAGTTTGCAGTTTTGTCAGGCAGAAGTCAGCTTCAAGACTCACAAGGAGTTCGTAGGCTGCCCCGCTAACAGTTACAAAGATCACAGCAGTTATACCCTTCACCAAGGTCTAAGATACGTCCTTGCTTCAGGTTGAATGATTCTCATTGGTTAAGAAATACATAGTAATTTCCCACACATATACAGATAGACTGAAGCATATCTCCATCAATTATGCGGCTGACACTCTGACCCTGAAGTTAGGCATGTCGTGACCTTCCAAGTCGTAGATTTGGGTTGCTGGGTGCCAGCCTGTCCAGAACAACAAGTCAGTCAATCTCCAATAATGCCAGTGGTTCCTTAACCTGTAACCAAGAAGACTAACACACACCGACACACAGCTTCTTCAAGGTTGGATTTGGACAGACTCTAACAATAAACAGAAGAGTCAACAAAACAAGTCCATATTTCATTTCTGGAAGCCGGGCTAAATGAGCAAGCACTGTTACTGCATTCCTAGCATTGGCCAGCCTTCAGTCACCTCTCAGATACCAAATACACACATTAGAGAATACATTCAGTAATCACACTCTATAACAGAATAAAATCTCATACGCCTAGAGGAGTCATTCAACTCATGTGATATTTAGAAGGAAAAATATTGATTAATACCTTGATTATAATCACTCATTAGATATAGATTGAAGCAGCAGTGGATTACAGTATCCACCCCTTCAGTATTTACCATTATGGAGATCATTGTTTGCTTTAGTTGGGCTCTTGACTTTTTGTATTTAAGAAAAATATGGACTTTTTTTTTTTTTTTTTATATATTCTGATGTTTATTTATTGATGATGTCATAATCATCACTAATTGTATTGAAACACAGATATCATTCCAAGGTTTGTCACCAATGTCTGTTACATCAAGCAATGCATTTGCGGTTCTCAACAACGGTGACATGCTGCAATGCATGCTGGGAACCATGGATAAGTTTCATATATGTGACCCTGGATCACAAAACCAGTCACAAGTAGCACGGGTATATTTACAATACATTGTATTGATCAAAATTATCGATTTTTCTTTTTTGCCAAAAATCATTAGGATATTAAGTACAGATTATGTTCCATGAAGATATTTTTTACATTTCCTACCGTCAATATATAAAACATTTATTTTTGTGAGTGAATGCAGCACAATCGCGAACATAAATGGTCAACTTTAAAGGCATTTTGTCAGTTTTGATTTTTTTGCACCCTCAGATTCCAGATTTTCAAATAGTTGTATCCAAACACACCAAACATCAATGGAAAGCTTATTTATGTATAAATCTCTTTTTTTTTTTAAAGACCCATGTGACTGGTTTTGTGGTCCAGGGTCACATATGGTAGCTCCCAGAAAGGGTTTCTGTTGTCTGAGTTTTGTGGGTCACCATTGTGCTGAAGAGTAGAGCCTGCAGAAGACCAAGAAACACTAATATTATGCTGCATGTTGCTTTATTTAACAGGAAGAAATATATTTGCAGTTATGTCAGTTACCTACATTAAATGCATGTTTTTTTTTTTTTTATCTATTCAAGTAAGTTTCAGTATAATAAATAACAATAAATGGACAGTCTATCATTGTCCTGCTGTTTAATTTGTTTTCATGTTAGAAACTTACAGATTTGGGTAAATGTCTATACTTGAGAAATGTAAGGCAATCGTTTTCCACGTTTTCGAAGTACACTCAACTAATTACATTTTCCAGTGTAAATATATTTTCAATATAAAATTTGAATAGTCAATATATTGTAATATATAACAAAATTTATTAAAGCAATATGTTATTTCATATATTTTTCAGTATAAACACGATATTGATTATAAATATATGGAAATATATTTTCTTTCTGTAAGGGATGCCACTGTAAGAAATTATATTGTTTAGTACTGTAATTGCTTTGAAGTCACCATATTGGTGATTAGTGTTTCATTAGCTTGGGATCCTCTGCATTCATATTCAAATATATGATTTAGCCAAATCAGAAATGTGATAAATTAAGCATTTGATAAAACAGTGACCATGCTAGAATATAAAATAATTTAATTGGCTGTTTTTAAGTGACTTATTTCAGCACAATGACTAACCATTATTGTATTTCAATTTCAGAATTGTTTGTAGATAGATATTTCGCCTCAGTAAAGAAGCTCTTGAAACTCGTATTTGATAGATGTGACTAAAATTTGAAAGATTTATTTTTTTACTTAACCCAATGATGCACAGACATCAATACTCGACATACTAAACACAACAATGGTGACACTCAACAAATAATAATAAAAAAGATCAATTCTGAACATTAACAAATAAACAAACAACACAAACTGCTAAAATTGAAGCAAAAATAAGTTCAGCAGCACAGATAAACCCAACAATAATCAAGAATCTCCTGCAGCATAATCTGTTCATGCCACACATGCTGGGTACCTTCATAGTACATATTATGCACTGTAGAAATATGATATTGCAGATTTTACAATAAATTTCCAAGAGTGCAGTTAAATACAAAGTCCTACAGTGGAATTACTGGAAAAGTAATGCATTTATTAACCTGGATTAAACTGTAATTTTACATCAAACATTTTTAACAGTGTTTATAAGATTTTTAAACAAAATAAACAACTTTTATTTTTTATTTTCAAACAAAATCTGTTGCTCCGTCAATTTTCAATACGAACATCTATTATGGTTGGAACACCCACAACCTCAAACGAGCCTTACGTTTCACAACAACAACAAAACTTTCTTTTAGAGATATTTCAACAATAGATATACCATATACGGAGATCCCACTTTTTTTGGAATTCACATTTAAAAAGTAAAAACACGTCTTTTGGTTGGAACACAACCTAAAACGAGCCTAACTTTTAACAACAACAAAACGCCAAACGCACACGAGAGAAGTGATACAGGAAATGACGTGACAGGAAATGCACGGGTGAGACAAACGTTCTCGCGCGAGACTGTAATTCTTCTCTCACATATGGCGAACAACAACAACAACAAGCAGCTTGCACTGCAAGTTATCTGTGCGCTGATCTGCAGCGAAAAAAAGAAAAACAACAGACGAATATGGAGGAGAGAATGTTTCAAGAGACGCGAGCAGCAAGGGTTGTCCGTTCCGCAGAGAGTGTTGGAGGTAAACAAATAACTATAATGAACCCAGTTAGATGCTTGCTTGCTGGTGTGGCGTGTATTTATTCGGATAGAAGCGTAATTTAGTCAAACGCCTTCTGATATTTGGTGTGTTATTGCTAGTCGAGCGAGGGGCCCGGCTGCCGGGAGCTGTTGCGGATGACGGAGGAGGAGTTCGAGCTCCTGCTTGGGAGCGTCGGGGCTCTCATCACCAAACAACACACTAAAATGAGACGGGCAATATCCCCGAGAGATCGCCTGTCTGTGACCTTGCGCTATTTGGCTTCAGGTGAGTCTGCCTGGGCAGTATTAATATAAGTTAATGCTGAATTCATTATACGTAGCTGTTGTTTATTTGAAGGGTTATTTTTGTTATGCAGGCGAAACATTCAGTTCCCTCAGTTTACAGTACAAGATTGGGGCCAGCACTATTTCACAGATCGTGATGGAGACCTGTGCTGCTCTGCACCAGGTCATGAAGAAAGACTATCTGAAGGTAAACTCTTATTTCCATTTACTCAGCACAATCTTAAACATCTGCATCAGCAACATTAATCATAACTAAAAGTATATAGCATATTAACTTAAGAGGACATGATAGTATCTTCAAGTCATGGGACCCAGATCCTATGTTGAGAGAATAAAGTTTCATAAGCAAGCCTGTACAGTTATGTCACCATTGTGGTGATCAGTATTTGCTCTAGTTGGGCTTCTTGCGTTAGCTGTTCGTTGGCTGCTGTAACTGTGTTTCTAAAACACAATTATTGTGGTGGATAAAGCCAAGATAACGCAAGATCAGCTGATATCAGCAAAATCTTCATAAAGCAAGCATCTAATATTGTTAGATGCTTTTGCATTTATAGCTGGCAACCTTGTGAAACTGTAATTTTGGCACCAATAGCATTTAAATGATCACTTATTTAGAGATGGGTAAAAATGTTGTGCACACACTGTATCATGTAGTCATACACAGACATCAAGATTTTGCTTATGATTCATAACAATGGTGACAAAAAAAGCATCATGATGCAATGCATGATGGGTAGCTTTCATAGTACAAAACTCATCCTGGGGGCTGTTCCATAAACCAAGATTAGAGTATAAGCCAGGCTTATTTCGGTTAGTCAGGCTTATTTTTGGTAGATTCGGTTTCATAAATCAAACTTAAAAAAGTTCAAACTCAGTTACCCTGGCAACTTATGCTGGGAAACTAGCCTGGTCCAGGGCAGGCTAACTGTCAGGCTAAGCCTCAGTTGTTACACAGATCCTCAACACTGACCGACAAGAACACAATGATATTACCACTGACAGTCTCTAATACCATTATTGGACTTTATAAATACACAGTATACAGACAATCAACTTAAATAAGGCTACAATATAGACACATATATAAGGCGTTTTAAAGTTGTCCGTATAGGACAGGGGTCTCCAACACGTCGCTCGCGAGCTACCAGTAGCTCGTGGCCTGATTGGAGGTAGCTCGCCAAGGGGCCGTTCACATATCGCGTCTTTTGCGCGCTCAAGTTCCTTATTTCAAATGTAGGCACTTGGGCAAGCGCGCTCATAATTGAAGCGACGCGCTCATTTTTTCCAGGCGCAGCGAGATGAAAACGCCTCAACTTTTCAGAATGCTGCGAGTGCACCGCAGGTCATGTGACAAGATCAAACCAATCAGCTTCACCCTTTCCGTAACAACACTGAAAGCTCAGTCAACATGAAGGATGGGGGTGCACCCAAACACTGCGGGTGTTTTTCTCTTCTCCGTAAATAAATCTTGTAGCAGAGCTACAGCAAGCGTTTTTCGGTAGAGGAAATCCATTAGCTACTAAAACTTCTTTGTCGTTGTGGAGAGCATACGGTTGCATAGCAACGACAGACGCCACGGGAAAATCGGACCGAATTTTACTATTAATAATAAAAGATAAGCTAATGTGCATTGTAAATGTTCGTAATTTATCTTTTTTTACTCATTCTTTTTATAAAAATGATTTAAAGGCTGAAATATGTGAGGTTTATCTTTTTATAAAACCTTTTTTGTCAAAACTTTATTTGAACTTGTACATGTTAGTAGATAACATGTTGCAAGACACTCCTTTCAAATCTGGCCATCATTTTTAATGTTATTATTTTAATGTTTATTTAAACAAAAAGAGCATATGGATGCTATTTTTTTTGTTATTTGCTGGTTTTCCACATATAACTTGGTGAATTGATTTTATTTAGTAGTATTTTTTTTAACAGGATTCTGTGATAACCGTGATAATTTTGGTCACTATAATCATGAAAGGAAATTTTTATGCCATTTCATCTCTAGTTATGATGCACTATAAAATCAACTATAATTGTGTGTTTACAGTACAATTTTCTATAAAAAAAAATTAATCTCTGATTCTGTTCTTTTCTCTGACATTTAAGGGTGACATATACAGGCCTACAAAAACTCTTTTAGGTCTAAAACAGTTTGGATAGCTGTTAATATGAGTTATGAGACATTATTTAGGAGATTTAAGTATTGTATTACATGAGTAGCTCTCAGCCACTTTCATTTTTAAAAAGTAGCTCTCAAATGAAAAAAGGTTGGAGACCCCTGGTTTAGGACATGTCATTTTTGTAATAAAGACATTTTAATTAAGGAATGCCTCGGTTATCAGAGAATTCTTTCTCTACACTGTCTCTTATATACATACACACACATATATATATATATATATATATATATATATATATATACACATATATTATGTACTTTATTATGTCTTTCAATTCAAACACATTTAACACAATTATACAAATGGACAGTTCCTTTAAAGACATCATATTTTCCCCCAATAAATATTCCTTATTTTTCCTTCTACTTTTTTTTTTCTTTTGTGATAATACCAACACATACATAAAAATAAAACAATAAATAAATATTAATATAAATATAACATTCACATATATCAAACTCTTATAATGAATGACACATAATTCCTAATAGTTATTCAAGTAATATTATTTAAATATCAAATATTCAATATTAAATAAGTAAATAAATAAAATAACTAGATATAAAAGGGAAGGTTACATAAAAATGTAGTTAATGTAGGCCAATATATATTCCTTTATTTTATGGAATATTCTTGGATTTTAGAGTTGCACATATCTTTTCAAAATGTATACATTTGTTCTTAATTTAATGTTATCCTCTCCATAATGTACTTTAGAAACTAAATCTAACCTAACCTAACTAGCATTCTAAATAAGTATATATCATCTTTATAAAGTAGCATAGGTCCTATACCCAAAACTATATTTTGTATCTTTATATATTTAGTTTCTTAAAAAAAATCTTCCCTGAATTAGGCTACCGGTACTTCTGTTCAATTTCTTTTTTTTATTAGAAGTATAAAATATATGAGTGTAATGAGCTAGAAGTTCACTGCAACTTATCCAACATCCTAAAGAGAAATTATTATAATTAGAAGATATTTCTAGTGTTATAAAATATCGCATATTAATTTTCCAAGCAAAATGTATATTTTAGTCAGAATTATTGCGCTCCTATTTGGCGCGCATGTGCGCAGCAGTGCTCGTTCAATATGAAGATTAGCAGCAAAATGGATACATTTGCACGACTTTCTAACATTTACAGATGGAGAATATAACTGTAAAATGTAATTTTTGCACTGAGGGGGGAAAAAAAACATGTCACAAACGCATAACACAGCACAAAATATACGCTGTTTGATGGTGGTCAACCTCTAGGGCTGCTTCAGAAACGCGTGCACACACAATTATCTAGACTAGATAAACCTGGATCAAATTAGTGAGATTGCGTGAACTTCAATTACCTTTTATGGAACCACTTTAGCCCCAACTTATTTGTTAGGCTCATTCAAGTCCGGTTTTGGAGTTTAATCCCCACTTTTCTAAGCTTCATTTATGGAACAGCCCCCGGGACTCCCAAGCTTTTTGTTTTGATTGTCACCGTTGTTGTGATTCATATCCAAAATCTTGATGTCTGTGTGTGACTACATGATACATTCGCTTAAAACATCACGTGCACATGTTTTTTATCCACCTTCAAATAAGTGATCATTTTAATGCAATTGGTGCCAATATTGCAGTTCCACAAGGTTGGCTGTTATAAATGCCAAACACAAAACTTTAAACACAACATTAGATGCTTGTTTTGTGATAATTATGTCATCATCAACAAGGAGCTGATAACAGCTGATCTTGCTTTAGCTTGGCTTTTTCTGCCACAACAATTTTGTTTTACAAACACACAGTTGCAGCAGCTAAAAACAAGCTAAAGGAAGACGACAGGGGACCAAGAGCTCAACTTAAGCAAACACTGATCACCACAATGGTGACTTTAACTGAAACAAATATCAACATCTAAAACTCTGTTAATTCTCACTCAGATCTTCTGTAGACGTCTGACAGAAATCGTCAAAGTATCTGTAGCCTATTTTATGTCCGTGATTAAGGGCAGAACAAGTGTCTGAGCCAGAAAGACTTTCCTTCAGATCTGGTTTCTCTCATGATCCAAAGATGTGTGATTTACAGATGTTTCCTTTATGTTCATGATTTCTGGACAAACACAAACTGTCTGTGAGTTGCAATTACATTGAAATAAACATTAGTTTTAATTTAATGCATCCTGAGAGTGTTTATTTGGTCCAGAAACAGTATAAATTATATGTAAATGAGACCTTAAATCAGGGGTCTCCAACCTTTTTTCATTTGAGAGCTACTTTTTAAAAATGAAAGTGGCTGAGAGCTACTCATGTAATACAATACTTAAATCTCCTAAATAATGTCTCATAGCTCATATTAACAGCTATCCAAACTGTTTTAGACCTAAAAGAGTTTTTGTAGGCCTGTATATGTCACCCTTAAATGTCAGAGAAAAGAACAGAATCAGAGATTAATTTTTTTTTATAGAAAATTGTACTGTAAACACACAATTATAGTTGATTTTATAGTGCATCATAACTAGAGATGAAATGGCATAAAAATTTCCTTTCATGATTATAGTGACCAAAATTATCACGGTTATCACAGAATCCTGTTAAAAAAAATACTACTAAATAAAATCAATTCACCAAGTTATATGTGGAAAACCAGCAAATAACAAAAAAAATAGCATCCATATGCTCTTTTTGTTTAAATAAACATTAAAATAATAACATTAAAAATGATGGCCAGATTTGAAAGGAGTGTCTTGCAACATGTTATCTACTAACATGTACAAGTTCAAATAAAGTTTTGACAAAAAAGGTTTTATAAAAAGATAAACCTCACATATTTCAGCCTTTAAATCATTTTTATAAAAAGAATGAGTAAAAAAAGATAAATTACGAACATTTACAATGCACATTAGCTTATCTTTTATTATTAATAGTAAAATTCGGTCCGATTTTCCCGTGGCGTCTGTCGTTGCTATGCAACCGTATGCTCTCCACAACGACAAAGAAGTTTTAGTAGCTAATGGATTTCCACTACCGAAAAACGCTTGCTGTAGCTCTGCTACAAGATTTATTTACGGAGAAGAGAAAAACACCCGCAGTGTTTGGGTGCACCCCCATCCTTCATGTTGACTGAGCTTTCAGTGTTGTTACGGAAAGGGTGAAGCTGATTGGTTTGATCTTGTCACATGACCTGCGGTGCGCTCGCAGCATTCTGAAAAGTTGAGGCGTTTTCATCTCGCTGCTCCTGGAAAAAATGAGCGCGTCGCTTCAATTATGAGCGCGCTTGCCCAAGTGCCTACATTTGAAATAACGAACTTGAGCGCGCAAAAGACGCGATATGTGAACGGCCCCTTGGCGAGCTACTTCCAATCAGGCCACGAGCTACTGGTAGCTCGCGAGCGACGTGTTGGAGACCCCTGCCTTAAATGATGTTGAAAATATGTTCACAATGGCCACATTTGAACTAGTTTTTAACCTCGTCCGAAGAGGGTCCATGAACGTCTATTTCGGACGTGCAGAACACGTAAAAAAAACGTTATACAAACTTTCATTCTGGCTCCTCAGTGGACGTCTTTTCAACGTCAGTCTTTTGTGACAAAGACGTTGAAGAGACGTCTTTTGGGCATCATTGTGTTTAGTGGGTGGGATTATTAGAAATGGGGATTCTTAATAATTAAATTAAAAATAAAAAAACTTAAGAATGACATAAAGAAAGTGCGCCATTAAAGGGGACATCAGATGCCCATTTTCCACAAGTTGGTGTGATTCTTTAAGGTCTTCATGAGTAGAGGTCGACCGATTGATTGGCCGACCGATTAATCGGGCTGATATGTTTGAATTAATCGGCATCGTCCGATTGTGCTGCAAATTAGGCCGATTAATAGGCAGGCGCATCTGCGAGCAGATAAGCGTTGTTGGTAACGCGCCCAGTGCTAAATTATTATAGTAGCCTGTATAGATAAGCTCCGACTTTATCATTTCTGTTTCTGTACTAGAGAATTTCTCTCCCTCTGTGCAGCTTTAGCTCAGTTTAGTCTCAGATCTACGGGCTGAGGGTGCTAAGCACATCAAGTATAGTGATGTCACTAACCGGGGAGAAAGCTCGTGTAGTCCCTACCAGCCGTTTGTTGTAGTCCTTATAAAGCAGTTTCTTTAAAAAAAAATGTCTCCCTTTGCTTTGAACTTTGAGCGTTGTAACTTTGCAGATGTTGTTTATGTTCAAACAGCAACATTACTCGATAACTAAAGTGAAATCATAATCAACCACCCCTTTAATAATGGCCAAACAACATTTAATTCAAATGTAAACCTAATCTTTAATATTTGGTCACTTCGGTACGATAGAAATGCAAAAGCCGCTGTAATTTCATTAACAAGAACACATGCTCAAACTCGGTGCAAGGGTTAAAAACTTTTATTTTAAAATCGCGACGAACAACAATTCGCATAATCAGAAACATATTTATGTATTTTCCTGTCTTGGCGTAGATTTACAAATGAGTTATATTACAAATCGTGTGAAGTGCCACACACTGCGTTCCCAGATGAACGTTATAAGAAACCCAAACTCACAGCATGCAGAGATGGAGTCTGAGAATCCCGAGACGCGCTCCACGCATATAAATGATAAGGGCCTTTACATAGTCAACGCGAGCAACGCGAGCAAGCAACGCGAGCGACGCGAGCTACGCGCTCCTTTTCATAGTACACAAGCGTCACCGGCGATGCGTGAAATGCAATACACCGATCGCGCAGCAGGGGGTAGTAGAGTCTAGAGTCGGGTCACGTAATATTCAGATCAAAATGGCAACTGAAGAGGAGTGCATATTGCTGATTTTACATCGGCGGCAACAAAGGATGTATACGAACAAGCTCGCATAACTTTTCCTCTTCGCCCGCCATTGTATTCAAATCTTCTTCTGTAAACATAATAATATACCTTTTTATGTACATTACTTGCAATGTCGCCCCCACCGACAACGCATAGTATTGCGTGCATCGGCGCGTCGCGTATCAAAAACTAGGATGACACATTTGGCTACGCATCGACGCATAATGGCGGCCGAAGCGTAGCGATGTGTAGCCTTGCGCACGCGTATGCGTACCGATGCGTTGACTATGTAAGGGCCCTAACAGTGTAACTATGAAACCGCGTCCGATGTTCTGCGTTACCAAATCCACGTTATTGGAAACCTAAACCAACAGCAGCACATGCAGTCTGCATGACGCAGAGACCGAGTCTGCGTGGAGCTGCGTTTACTGTGAACGGAGCTGAGGTAACATGTAATCTGCACGCATGTAAATAAAAGCGCTGTGCTTCTCTGTGGAAAAAAAAGCGCATATGTTTATTTAACTGAATCACACAGTCGTTGTGATTTCACAATAGCACTATGCTATATTATGATTTTAAATGGTTTTAAATATATCACGTAGCCTTAGAAAACGGTTAATGGATTCTCGTCGTGTAACGCGGCACTTCCGGTATTTTGCCGGGTTACTCGACACGGGTAAATTGCAATCAAGGATTTTTTTTAAATCGAGTACTTGACTTTAATCGAGGAATAGTTACAGCCCTAGTAACAGTGTTACTTAACTGTAATCTGTTACAGTTACTGAGAAAAAATGTGCATTAAATCACAGTTACTTTTGAAAATGTTAACAATGACAAAGGGGGTTACATCTGAATCTTTTCTGTAAAAACCTGTCTGAGAGTTGCCACCATAAACATGTGATCCAGTGCTGGAAATTTAAAAATCATTTTATCCAGAAATCAGAAAAGGGCACAAATATAAAAGTTCAGTGCAAAATATGTTTGCCAAGTATTGAAATGTTATCGACATCGATGTTTTCAGTGTCGAACGTGAAGAAGCATCTCCTATGGTGAATGTTTACCTGAAGCGCCAACTAGTGGACAAATCTCTCTATTAGTTTGTCCCATTTTGACTTGCAAAATAGAGCTATTTAACTACTAACAAACAACGATTGGTTATTGAGTCTAAACAATATTTGAGGTGGAATATAACTTTATTACAAGAAAAACAATACCATGCATGTTATGACAGCTACACTGGAGGAGTCTGTTTGGGTTGCCAGAATGAAACTATATCTGTTCTTGCTTCTGTTAGAGAAATCAATATCATGCCTTTTATGGTATCATGTTTTCCCTTCACACACACACGGTATTGTGGATTTTTACTCTCATAATTTCCTATGAAAATTAATGTTAGGAGCAGCACACATCTATTGTAAGCGTGACTACCTCAGATGTTGGTGTTTGTTAGCATTAACCAAAGAAACACAACCCGAATTATTAAAAAAAAGAAAACTTATATCTGTGTGACGAATTGATGGCACAGCTCCATCTTTAAAATACAACTTACATGCGAGTCCAGCTCCGCATTGGCCCAGGTTTGTAAAACAGACCGGCAAAAAGTGTTTGGCACACACAAGCAAGATTTTGCCCACTCTTTCTGGGACATTTTCTTTAAATATAAACTGAAGCTATTTTGCTTTTGTTTCCTCTGAGGCTGGGATTCGGTGTAAGGACACCTGTGAGTCTTTACAGCCGGACACAGAGCAGGTTTTGCATGCCAGCATCTCTTGATTGTCCAACGCTTGCTAAAACGAAATGCACCTTCGTTAGCTAGCTTCTCTACTTTTGTACAAAACGAATGGGAAGGGGGTGGACTAAAGCCATTTAAGAAGACTCTGTGTATGTCTCGGGTCTTATTCAAATAGCTAGCTATCTGTGGAGAAACTGGCTGCAAATTGAAACCGCTCGCTTGGATGACACCGTTTCAGACTCAGACAGCCCATAATAAACTGGCTGTGTGTTTTCTTTTCAGCTCTTCTGAGCTGGCAGACATGGCTATATTATATTACATCACGCAATGTATAGACATTCTTGAAACAAATTGATAATAAAAATGATTTCAACCTCATTTGAATGCGATGTATTAACATCAAGTAATATAGGCTTACAAAAACATTTGTATTCATCCCGTCCCACAGTCTTCTAAATCCATTCACTGATTGTTTCTAAAATATTTAGTATTTGTCTGTATATTTGTATTTTCAACTTCATTTCAGACATTTCTTTAACATTCTCATTCTGTATTATCTATGTACAGTAATGTGTGACAACCATTTCTGTAGGCTTATGCCAGTACGTAGTAAAAAAATTGTGTTTTATTAGAGAATCATTAAATCCTTGAGTCAACAGATTCATTAAAAACAGTAAATTATATACAAACAAAACAATGAACATGAATGAAATGATTCATTTACTTGTACGATTCATTCACAAACACCACTAATTATAACTTTACAGTTATCCTTACTATAATACCTGATTAATGATTAGCCTATAAGTGAAATAAAATATTATAGTCTTATATAACAATCCGTTGAGGGTTGTATAAGTGTTAAATTCACATTTAAGTGAAGTCTGTTTATTTATTGCCGCCTACTGTATAGGCCTACAGAAATAGTCATATACAGTAAAACCAAAGCTTTACTGGCATGATTGTCAGACATTTATTTACAGTATAAACAAAACATATACACTGAATATTTGCGTGTTGAAAAATATAGTACAAGTACAGAGCGTTAATTGGGAACATAAAATATAACAATGATTAGCCTATATAATACAGAAATACCAAAAAAAGAAAAAGAATGGATTTAAAAGACTTGGGATGGGATGAATAAACATTTATTTATTCTTTTAAGGTATGTAATAATTAGTAATAATTTGTACTTTATAATGCTGTCACGACCACGAGGTATACATTGTGCTAAACATATTATATATACAGTATATACAAATATCAGAAATACCTCATAATACAAATATTAGAATAAGTGCACAAAATAAAGTTAAGTCTTATTCTGTTCTGTTCTTCTGTTCTTTTGCTAGACACCATCAACAGAGGCAGAATGGCGGACAATAGCCCAAGACTTTGAATCGAAATGGCAGTTTCCACATTGCCTCGGTGCGCTTGGTGGAAAACGGATCTATTTACAGCCTCCAGCAAAGAGTGTGAGCCTTGAGCATAATTACAAGGGCAGATTCTCTGTGACGATCATGGCTGCGGTAGATGCAAATTACAAGTTCATCTATGCCAGCGTGGGAACCCAGGCCAGTGTCTCTGATGCTGGACTGTTCGCTCACTCGGACTTGTGCAAAGCCATGGATCGGGGTTTGCTGAACTTTCCTCCACCTGAACCCTTGCCCAACAGTGACGTAAAGATGCCGTACATGTTTGTGGGTGATGAGGCATATCCTTTAAGGCCAGATCTCATGACGCCGTATCCATGCAGGCAGACGGACCGCAGTCAACAGGTACTGAACTGTCGTCTATCAAGGGCACGTAGAGCGCCAGAAAATGCTTTCGGCATTCTTGCCAACAGGTTAAGGGTTTTCAGGAACACCATATATTTGGAGCCAGACAAGGTGGTTAAGATAACTATGGCCTCGCTATGCATCCATAACTTCCTCCGCGAGCGCAGGTCTGAGGCGTACACACCTCCAGGCTTTACGGATTGGGAGAATGAGGACCACAGCTTAGTTGAGGGAACCTGGAGGAAGCAAGGAAGTGGGTCTTTCCAGCCGGCGGAGCAAAGAGGGGAAAGCGATGCATCAGATACGGCCAAAATCCAACGAAACCTTCTGTGTGACTATTTTGTCTCGCCTGCAGGTTGTGTTCCTTGGCAGGAGGAGCACATTTAGTATTGTAAGGATGTTGGAATAGTATTTTTGTAGTGGAGAACACTGTGGATTTGATTCTTTGGCATTATTGTGGTTCTGTTATTGATTTTAGACCTTTGGTAAAGAATGTCTTGTGTATATTTTATATCTTCAGACCATAGAAGTTGTGTACTGTTTGATGTCATTGTTTCAACTGCATGTAAATATTCTTTTTGTAAGCTTTGTTTCAAAAATGTATTACAAAAAAGTACTGAAAACAACAGTATAAAGTTTTAAAAATATAGTCCTGCGCATTACTGTACAGATTCACAACATAACTACAAGTAGGCTATTATTTAACACTCAAGGTCAACATTGATTTGATGTCTTTTACAACAGTGAAATAAAAATAACCTTAAGATCATGTTCATGATGTTCCTTTTTATTCTGGACATATTGCTGTTAAGTAATATCCCTAAATCAGATGCTACCTTGTTTCCAAAGGTAGTGAATGCATCAGGTGTTGCTGCTGCCTCAACGTTTGCTGTCGTTGTCCAAATAACACAAAAGAAGATATTTTGAAGAATGTATGTAACCAAACAGTTCATGGACCCCATTGACTTCCATAGTATTTTTTTCCTACCATGGAAGTCAATGGGGTACCAGCATAGACAGTAAAAGAAATGGACAGAGCGATCTCATTGGAACTCAGTTGAGACAGTTGAAGCCCACTTTTAGCGATTTTTGAGAACTTTCGTTCCTGACGCGCAGACTCAAACCGACTCAAACTAAGCTTGATGACGTGAGCAACCTGTCTGACAGACGTTAATCTTCTAGTAGCTGTGCGTGAAAACTGCCAACGTTAATCTTGCAGAGACGGGGAACTTGAGCAAAGAGTTCTTTGGCGTGAGTGAGCAGGAGTAAGTATTCCGTTGCTTTTATGGACTCATTATCTATGGGCTTCTCCCTTGACGGGACGTCCCCCCGATTGCCTGCGAGCTTCTCCTCCTGTCTGTACGGTCATTTCTGTACAGCGCGACAGAGAGTCGAGTGGTTATGACGCAATCGTTAGCCTATTTTTACTAAATCTGTTTCTACGGGGCCATAATGTAACATAGAAGGTAATGGAGCCCTTTATACATTGTCGTGTTTCTTTAGAAATAAATAATGGACAAATGGAGTCTTTAAACGCCTCAGATGTAAAGTTATTCGCTGTCAAAGTGACGCAAAAATGAATGGGAGTCAATGGAAATGCTAACGCAAGTGAAGTTCTGCTACAACATGGCGGCACCCGGCCGGCTTCAACTTCCGGTCGATGGATTACCCCCTTGGGTACCAGTGCTGCTCTTCTTCTGCTTAAATTGTTCTCACTATCGCCACCTAGTGATAAGACATAAAGATCGGATAACATACATAGGTTTAGGTCAGAGGGGTAGGTTTTTTTTTTAGCTATAATTACCATGAGTAGCCTATTAATTTAAGTTGATAGTATTATTGTTATGATTTACTACTAGCTGTTATTTCACACTTAATAAGATTCGAAAGCAATATAATCTCGTCTTACAAACATTTCATTTATAAAATATAGAAATAAAAATTAATTTACTTCAAAAGATTGTTTTTAGTCAATGACATCCACGCTGGTTTCTTCGCGGGAGGCGTAACTTGTAGTAGGTGTGATTCGCAGGGGCGTGGTTTGTAGTACAGCGGGACGCAGACTGACCCGTCACCTAATGCTTCTCACTCACAGTTCCAGAGAGGCGAGCTGTGATTCGAGGAGCGTGGACTAAAATACACGTGCATATCTGGGAAAACTCATGAATATTCATATATGCTCCGCCCAATGAAAACGAAAATCTCTCAGAAATCTCAAAACTCGGACAACCGGTGCAGGCTACCATTAAATACCAGATTTCCGTGTCACGATGAAGGCGGAGGGCATCGCGGGCATTGAGCAGTTCGCCAGCCCGGGGAAGGGCAGAGGACTGCGGGTGAGCAGAGCTTATGCAGTCGGTGAACTGCTGTTCTCCTGTCCTGCTTATTCATACGTTCTGTCAGTCAAAGAGAGAGGACTCATCTGTGAACAGTGCTTTACAAGGTCTGACTTCACGAGTTTTAGTTGTCATGTCATCTTGGTGCTTTATTTTATTTATTTATTTATTTAAATTGTAGTCTACTTTGTTATTGATCATTGTTTTCTAATAAATTCCTCAATTACTGTCTGAACTATACAGCTACAAAACTTTAATTGGCATGTAGGCTACTCCTTTGTTACCACATGCACATTCTGGTAAAGCTGAATGAATGACAGGATTTAACAGCATGAGTATATTTCAATATAACAACATAACTCTGAGAGAGAGAGAGAGAGAGAGAGAGAGAGAGAGAGAGAGAGAGAGAGAGAGAGAGAGAGAGAGAGAGAGAGAGAGAGAGAGATGGTTGAATTCAATCTTATCTGCCTCTTTTTCTTTAGATTTTAGAGTGAAATAGGCTAGGCATCTTTACAAGTTTTTTTTAGATATAAAATACACACTATAGTCTAAAATACATACTATAGACAAATACTATAGTCACGATAAATTTGCCATTTTGATTCATGAACAGTATAGATAAGCTCCAAAAGGACACATCTAAAAATACAACCCAACATCTAAAAGCAGCTGGTCAAACCTCAGGACATTTGCTCTGGACAGGATCAGTGGGTGTAAGTGACAGTGCCTGTTAAAAGTAGCACACTCGTCCTGACAGCTGCTTCAGTGTAAAGGCTGTTCTCGACTGTGTTCTGTTACAGTTTCTCTCAGTTCTAAATGAATCGCATTACAGAGTGAATTAATGTGTGTAAATGAACAAGTTACATATTCATATAGTAATAATGACTGTCTCTTCACATGAAACACTCATTGCTATATGAAATTATGACTTGTTCTTACTTACACACACACTCATTTTTATCATTGAGAGTTTAAGTGATCATTGGTGGATGTTTGTATTTTTATTTATCATGTACAGGAAAAAGGGTCTTGCAAGATGTGGAAAGTGCAAAAAAGCATTCTACTGCAATGTGAACTGTCAGGTAAAACACACAAAATACACACACGAACACAGCCATACACATACTATACAAAGAAACAAATTAGGCAAAGGAACAAATAAAAATAATGGAGGAAACACGCATACATGAAGTAAACCAGCATCTGAAAGAAGTATCACATTCAGAAATTGAGGGGAAAAAAATACTTGAAAAAAAGTAATATAAACACTTAAATTATGTTTTATGATATAATAAAGATGTTCTTTTGAGATCTGAAGTCCTTACATGGCAAGACTGGAATACAGGTATGATGGACTTTATTTCAGTGAAACAGCGGATCATGTTTGCATCAGTGAGTGCACTGAGCTAGTGGAGATGGCCTTTGTCAGTTTCTTTAAATAAATAAACTTTTTTACATCAAAGGATTAATGTAGCGAGCACATATACTCTGTTGTAACGATGAATCTTAAGCCCAACTCGTATGAATGTTCTCTACATGAAAGGTTATGATTGTTTGTCTTTTTAAAATGGATTCCCAAAAAAATACAGTTAACATGAGTGTGTGAGTACGATTTAAGTTTACGTTTACACAACAACGTTGTACTAAAAATGTATGACATACAGATGACAATGTTGTCAAAACGATCCCGTTCACATGGAACCGCAAATAGGACTAAAAACGCTGTATTATTCATGTTAGTAGTTGGCGATGTCACTTTGTAAAGAAACACTACGCGCCTATAGACTGAACACGTAATACGCATGACATCACCGTTAACACAAATTCACGTTATTGTAGTATACATGGAGACGATACAGTTTTCAAAACGGCCGTTCACATGAAAAACTTGTCTTGTTTTTTGGCCATTCATTTACACAGCAACGGTGTTTTGGGGCGTCTAAAACCACAAACTTTTGAAAACGAGATTCAAAGTTTGAAAACTATACCGTTATCGTCTCCGTGTAAACCACAAAAACGCGAATTTCATGCAGGTGCATTTTATGTTCAGTCTATAGGCGCATAGTGTTTCTTTACAAAGTGACATCGCCAACTACTGGCCTGGCATGAATAATACAGCATTTTTTGTTGTTTTCGCATGTGAATTTAGGATCGTTTTGACAATGTTGTCGCCTGCACTGTAAAACCCAACAAGTTAAGCTAAGTTTATAAAAAACAATAGTTATGAGTACTCTGAAATTATTTCAGTTGAGTTCACTAAAAGTAGATATTGCAGTCAATAAATTAAGTGATTAAGTGAATAATTAAGTGATTGTTGAGCATTAATGATGAACACCTGCTGTTAACATCACTGAAGGAAAGAGAAACACAAGAACTACAACTGACTTCCAACCACAACATTAGATGAAATCAACTGAAGATAAAATATTTTTAAATCTCTCAAGATCTCAGCAGAGGAGGATTGAACAACTCCACAAACAGCATTACCAGCTTCACTTATTACTAACCAGTTTGACTTTTATCATGCGTCTACAGAAGTTGTTATTGTGACTGAACAGAGGTTTAGATGAAGATGATTTATTGAGTTTCATTTAAAGACACCATGATAGTGGTCAGTGTTTGCTTTAGTTGGGCTCTTGACCCTTGACTTTATAACACCATTTTTTCCTCTGGCTGCTGTAACTGAGTGTTTATATAACAAATTTGTTATTGCACAAAAGCCAAAAGAAAATTTTGTTTTGATGATGATTTATGGAATGTTAAATCAACATTTGGTGTCTTGATTCTCTGATCTTTTCTAGAGAGTAACCTCTGATAAACCGGTGATATATAACTTGTATTATTCATTATAAAAGAACGTACTCGGTTACTAACGTAACCTCGGTTCTCTCTAGAGAGGGAACGAGTACTGCGTAATAGCTTACGCTAGGGGAAAAACTCTTTTCCACGAGATATTGAAGCCAAAAATTATCCTTAATTTTTTTATTAATGTAAAACGCTTTGCAGCAGCAAGCAGACATAGGCGAAACAGCTCGCGCGCCTATTGGTTGCTCTGCAGCAAATGCAGCAGCCTATCGAGAGAGACGTAATGACCAATGGGGGCAATTCGCGCCCATATCGTCACGTCCCGCCAGAAGGGGCGTGGTCTCACCCTATAAATATGCTCGTTAGGCTGGTACAAGCTGGTTTTTATCGCTGAAGCGAACCAGAGCGTATTCCAAGCACGGCAAGATACGCAGTACTCGTTCCCTCTCTAGAGAGAACCGAGGTTACGTTAGTAACCGAGTACGTTCTCTTACGAGAGTATCTCTCGTACTGCGTAATAGCTTACGCTAGGGGAACACAATGCAACACGCCGTGCGTACAGGGATCCAACACCAAAGTCCCGGGGGCCGAAGCCCAGGGCTCTTGTAGTGCATAATCACCATAAACT